AATAGTAACAAGGGGGGTTTAGATTTGTTTGGTTTGAAAACACTAAGATAAACAACCTATATGAGTTTAATTCAATGAGATGAGGACTTGGTTTTGCTTTTATCTACTTAATGAAATGTTCGTCGATCCCGGTTATATCTCTAACTATCTTCCTCTCGAATACTCAATCGAGGAGTATATCCAGTTCATCGAGGGTAGTTATTAATAACGAGATGCGTTCATTAATAAAACTTACTATCGAGTCGATATAGAACAAGCACCGTATATTAACTTGATAGTAGCAATAAACTTAAGATGAAAACGATTGAGATTGATAACCTCAACACAAGCGGTTTATTGGTTCAATCAATATAATTAATTCCCCTTGGCATATTAATCATGAGATGCATGCATTAATATTCCGAGTTTACTACCGTTGAAAGAACCGGATTAATAACAAACGTATTAACCGATTGATTCTAGTAATAATTAATATGAGAAACAGTACTAGTTGATACTTTAAGTAATGTTTAAGATATTAACATGAAATATGGATAGGAATTAATTAATACTCAAGGAAGAATATTAAAGAATATGAATCCTACTATGATTAATATCAAGATGTTAACTAATTGTCATTTTAGTAACACTCCCCAATATTAACATAGAGGAAGAAATAGCTATTGCTATAACCAATGTCAAGATGTTAACTAATTGTCATCTTAGTAACACTCCCCAACTTTGATATAGAGATAGTATTTTAAAAGCAAGAATTAATATTCAAGGAAGAAGATTAAAGAAAATAACTCACAACTTACAAATTCATTAAGCTTCAAAGTAGCAAAACCAAGATGGAAGAGTTTAGCTCCTCATTTGGAGACTAAACATGATGAAAAATATAAAGAAAGAACTATTCTATACTGAGCTTAGACGTACAAAGGAATTGGATCTCTTTTTGTGAAGGAAAGGATGTGTATTTATAGGCTTTTGGGATGGGATTCGGGTACTCGATCGGGTATATACATGGTACCCGATCGAGTACGTGTGTAACACTCGATCCGAGGTATACTCGACCGGTTTCAGGCTATTTTCCATAAGTATACCCGATCGAGTATATATTAATACCCGGTCGAGTATGCTTAGAAAATGGTATTCGGACCATACTCGACCGATCTTCGTTTGAAATTCAAAGGCATACCCGATCGGGTATGTCAGTCTACCCGATCGGGTACAGACATAAAATCGTGGCCGAAATCTTCCCGGCATGTTCCCTTGTCTTCGGATCTGATCCGATTTGAAGTTCCAACCTAATACCCGATCGAGTATAGTTAATACTCGACCGAGTATAGACCAAAATTTCAGGATCTTCTTTTGTCTTCAAATTTTTGCACCTTCTTTCCACTTTTTGGGTTCACCAACTGTACTTCGAGTGATCAAGACCTGTTTGAGCTCAGAATATATCTAATCTAACCTATTTACAAGAATTTAACAAACTAATCTACTACACCAAAAGTGTGTAATTTCCATAGTAAAGATCAAGCAAAACTAATTAAAAACACAAACATAAATATGGAAATTACAAACGTATCAACTCCCCCTCAGAATGTGCAAGGTTTGATTGCTCACAGCTCGTCATACCCGCCATGTGTGTGGGGCAATCTAAACAAGTACCACACATGACAGTTTCCCTGAGCTCATCATGTAGAATTTCAGCATATTGATGATCACATAATGTTGATGAGTCAGAGGAGGCTTCAGTGGTTGATTGTTGATTGTTGTGAGATGACCGTTGACGCGAGGTTGATTGAATTATCTACGACTTTCGGACCTTTATAGTTAGGTTTAGAAAATGTTTGACCTCAGGGTTGACTTTGAAAGAATTTGAACAGATTTGCCTAAGTTTTGACCTGGACATCGGTGATTTACAATGTTTGTTGGAAAACTAACGTTTTGACCTCTCTATCTCTACGCCTCTGCGTTTCTAAGCCTCTATCGATTGTTAGGGTTCCCGTAAGTTAGCCTCCTTTTATAGGAGAAGTTGGCTAACTTACGGGTTACAAGGAAGCCCCCGGGTTGATACACATTTGTGGCCCGTATTGCACGTTTAATTGATAACTACACAAATACAAAGATAACTAACTAGATTGAACACCATATAATATTCCCACACTTCGAAGAAATTCCTGGCATAAAAAAACTTACTCAGTGTTACTAACCTAACCCGTGATAACAATGCTTACATGATTTTTTATCATAACTGTTGCTTTGTGAAGGACCAACAGGGATGAACGCTACTCACATGACGCGTTGAAAATGGACTGTATTTATATACAACAAGGAGTGTGTGCATGGATGCGTTGTAAAGGATTACCATGTTAATAATGTATTGTGTTTAATAAGATGTACTAGTAATAATAACTAAAAGCTAGATAATAAGTGTATTTTACACACTATAAATAATACATTAGGCTGGAAAATAAGGAATGAGCCTTTCCTCTCATTTACTAACTACAATTAGTTATTTTCCATTGGTACCTATTAATAGTGTATTTAGTATCCTACTAGGTTTTTCCTTATTTAATTAGTTTCCTTGTAATAGGATTCCTATTGTATTAGGTTTCCTTGTTGACTTTAAACACTTCTTATGATATATATGATACCCAGGGCTACCACATTGGTAAGCCTGCTATCATGATCTCAGTCGCTGCCACCGCATCGACTACCGCCGCCGTGGCCCATTCTTCACAGCTGCCGGCTAGAGATTTGCCGGTCTTCAGCGCGGCAGCCGTGTAGCCCAACGCGAGTCACGAGACGCCACCACCCCTGACAGATCCCCTTCTCCCTTCGTCGTTGTTCTCCTCAGCGTTTGTTCCGATGCCAGCATACTCCTCCTGGACTCTGCCTATCTTCACATAGAGGCCCACTCCTCCAGCCCTACGGCCACCACCGTTGCTTTCTGGAGAGTCGCACGTGGATTCCAGTGAGGCTGCAGCAACCCGTTCTCATTTTGCCGACCCTACTCTCTCCGGCAGTCCATGTCTTGTCCTTCAGAATCAGTTCAGGATGGGTGGCTCACGTTCGGTTGGTCCTTCATTCTCGGAATCCTTTGCTTCATTGGCTCAAGGAATGGGGTTTGGGGTCCCATCCATCACAAATATTGTGACTACAAAATTATCTGCTGTTGAAGATTATCTACCCTGAAGAACTCAATTTGAGTCATTCTTGGTGTCCAATGGTCTGTTAGGCATCCTTGATCACCACTAATCCCAAGCATCTCCTCCATTGCCTGGTCACCCTATGCAAACTCGGTCTAAGTCGGGTATTTTTAAACCAAAAACAATTTTTACTCTTAAAACAGATATTTCGGCATGTGTTCTCACTTATTTTTCCGTGGCTAATAAAGATGAAAAATGGAGAGCTACTATGGCAGAGGAATTTAATGCGCTTATCGATAATCATACTTGGGATTTAGTTCCATGTAATCCTAACAAAAATGTGGTCGAGTCTAAATGGATTTAAAAGACAAAATTTCATTCTGATGGGTCAGTTGAGCGGTATAAGGCGCGTCTGGTTGCACAAGGTTTTACTCAATAGACTAGTGTAGATTTTTCTGAAACTTTTAGTCCTGTGGTTAAACCTACTACTGTTCGTATTATGTTATCTCTTGTTGTTTCGTTTGGTTGGACTATTCGCCAGTTAGATGATAAAAATGCATTCCTTCATGGTAATTTAACAAAAGAGGTTTATATGCGTCAGCCTCCGGGTTTCATTCATCCTCAGTTTCCTAGTCATGTGTGTCGTATAAGGAAAGTTATCTATGGCCTCAAACAGGCCCCATGGGCCTGATTTTATCGTTTTAGTAGTTTTCTCCCGACTCATGGTTTTCTGTATAGCAAGTCAGACAATTCCTTATTTATCACCAATGTCATATTGTTCTTTATGTTCTTCTTTATGTTGATGATATTATTGTTACTCGAAATTCTCTTTCCTTCATTAGTACATTTATTACTTGTCTTGATGATCTGAGGGATTTACATTTTTTTCTGGGTGTCCTAGCTGTACGTTCTTCCTTTGGTTTATTTTTATCTCAACAAAAATATGTTTCGGACTTACTTGTCCGATTTTATCTCCACACTCTCAAACCACTTCGTACCCTTCTTCCCACAAGAACTGAGCTATCTCTCACTGATGGGGATCTTCTGGCAGATCCCACTGAGTATAGGAATATGGTCGGTGCTTTACAATATTTGACCATGACTCGACCTGATATTACATTTGTTGTTCATCTGGTTTTCCAATTTATGCATGCTCCTCGTACATCACATTTTCTGGATGTTAAGCGTATCTTCAGGTATTTGCAAGGCACTCTAGGACACGGTTTGCTCCTTCGGCTGAGCCCATCCTCACATCTTTTGCAGGCTTATTCTGATGCCGATTGGGCAGGTTGTCCTGATAGCAGTTGCTCCACGTCTGTTTTTGCTATTTTTCTGGGTCCTAGTTTGGTTTCAAGGAAATCTAAGAAGGAACGGACGTGCACTTTGTCGTGGTGTGCACTCAAAATAAATAAATACAATACAATAATTATACGTAGTATAACGAAGTAAGGCTCGTATCCAGAGGGAAAGAGATATCTTTCTTTTAATTAAATAATACAAAGGGGGGATTTTGAGTTTGATTTGATTTAATGTAATTACCACTAAGATGAATGACTTATATGAGTTTAATTAATAGGGATGATGACTTGGTTTTGCTTTTATCCACTTAATGAAATGTTCGTCGATCCCGGTTATATCTTTAACTATCTTCGTCTCGAATACTCAATCGAGGAGTATCTCCATTTTTCACACCTGAACTGACTGTTTTTTTTTCACCAGAAATATCTGTTTTTTTTTGCAGCTGAATTCTCAGACATTTCCATTGCTTTGCTACTTTTGAAACTTTAAGCAGTTTGTATTTTCAAGTATATTAGCTATTTATAGATAACTTCTAAAAAATTGGAACGGATTTGTTTGGGATAACGCCGTGCCTATACACAGACCCGCCCACAATTTGAATTTGGCATAGCCTTTTCCGTGCCTAAACCGTCGCAAGGGGCCCCTTCTAAAAAAACTGGAACGTATTTGTCTGGGATAACGTTGTGCCTATACACAGACCCGCCCACAATTTGAATTTGGCACGGCTGATTCCGTGCCTAAATCGTCGCAAGGGGTCTCTGACAGTCAACGCCTGACATGTCTGGACGTTCAGACTGCCAGACACTTTGGAACGGATAAATCGCTGCCATAATCTAGCCAAATAGTCCTTTGCCATCTAAAATTTGAATTTCGAGGCTTTGGCACAGAATTTGGATGCATTCATGGTCGTGACAACAGCGAAAACTGAACAACCGTTTTCGTTCAAAGCTTGAGACGGATATTGGTTCAACAAATATCTGTTCCAACAACGAGAAATCATTCGAGTATTCTGGAAACCCAGTTAACTCAGTTTATTCCGTCCCAAGTCCGTGCCAAAACCAAAAATATTTAAACCTAAACTGACTTTCCCATCCGTACTTCACACTATCCCCCTTCGACACCCTAACCCTCCGCCGCTGCACTACACCCTCCACCGCCGCACTACACCCTCCACCGCCGCACTACACCCTCCACCGCCACACTACACACCCTCCTCCGCCACACTACACACTCTCTACCGCCACACGTATACCCTCCTCCGTGCAAAGGTCAACTTCGGCTCGGACAGTTCTTCTACAGCACCCTCCTCCGCCATACGTGTACCCTCCAAGTCCAGGTCATGTTTCTCAACCTTCTTTATGTGTTATTTAGTTCGTTAGTTTAAAATTTATTCAAAACAAATCTTTTAGTTCTTATTTAGTTCGGTAGTTTATATTTTTTTAAAACAAAATGTTTTTTGTGTTATTTAGTTCGGTTATTTCTATTTTATTTAAAGCAATTTTGTTTGTGTTTTTAAAGTTCGGTAATTTATTATTATTTAAATGATATTTTTTTATTTCGGTAGTTTATGTATTTTTCAAGCTACCGAATGTTTTCATGTGTTATTTATTTCGGTAGTTTATATGCATTTGAAATTACCGAATGTTTTTTATGTGTTATATATTTCGGTAGTTGATATATTTTTATAACTACCGTATGTGTTTTACAGAATATATTCCACAATTTTACTTGTTATTCTGTAAATTTTATTTAGTCTTTATGCATGTGTGGACAGTATGTGTTTTATAAATACTTCACACTTTTCTACAGAATAATCTTTTTACCTTACTTCGTTTAAATGTACGAAATTTGCACTGTTATATAATTATAAGGTGATTATTGTATTTATAAGGTTATATAATTAAATAAAATGTCTGGTAGAGGTAGTAGTCTTCAGTCCTTTAGTTCTGACCGTGGTGGTCGCAGTTGCGGTCGTGTTGGAAGCACCACAGAGCACCAGCCAATTATTTTCAGCCAGAACTCTCCCAATACCGAACTTGAACTTGAATCAGTCCACTCCAGAGCTGGAAGTGAACCATCAATTGGAGTGAATGATGACATCCCTTCCCAATCTCATACAAAAACATGGATAACTTTCCTGGAAATGAGAAGGTAATAGTTTTAATCAAGATTTCATAATTTAAAAACAAATATTATTTAATGACAACATTATTTAATCAATGTTATGTAGCAAGCCTTCTATTCTGGACACTATCATAGGTATTCTAACGACAAACTATCACGGCCCTTGGTATTCTTTCAAGCACGCTGATGAGTCCCAACGTGAGCGTTGGTGGACTCTGTTTCAGGTTTTGTATAGTTTCATATATTGCTAATTAAGTACCTTGTTATCACATTAGAGTTTATTTCTCACTATTTTATGTTATTGTATAGAACAAATATGAATGGGATCCCTACATCCACAAAAGAATAAAGAAGCGGTTTGAATCCCGTGCCTCATCGTGGTTGAGTAAAAATCTTGGGAGAGCTAGACGCAAAGATGAGAAGCCAGAATGGATTTCAAAGGAGCATTGGGCTGTTCTTAAGGAGTATTGGGGTTCTGATGAATTTAAGAAGAAAAGTGTAGCAGGGAAAAAGAATCGTAGCACTGAGGCAGCAAGGGGTTCGCAATTTCGTGGAGGTCGGATTCCGGTGACCACACATGTTCAAAGAATGGTAATTACAGTTCCTAAACGTTTATATTTCTTGTTTTATTTCAATTGTACTAACAGTTCATTAACATTAGATTCTTGTTGTGATTACAGACTGAATCTTTGAAGAGAACGCCTTTAAAGATTGAGGTTTTTGAGAAGGTGTATGTGCCCAAGGCTGGCGATCCTCCTCCAAGAGTTATTGAAACGAGGGTACACTATTTATATATACATGAGTTGTAATATTTGTAATAGTTATTTATTTTACTTGCTAAATATAATTCTTTGTTATATTTTGCATAAAAAGTAAAATGATCTGAAGGCCCAAGCAGAATGTGAGGGGAAGTCCTTTGACAATGATGATACGGAGTTGTTTTGCAAGGCCGTGCCGGAGTACAAGGGGCAACGATTTGGGACGGGTTCCGAGGCAGAGGTGCTGTCGGGCAGCATGGATTGCACAAGCCGAATCACGGGACCGAGCCAAGAAGTGATTGATGCCCGCATTCAGGAGCAGGTTGATGCCCGATTTTCCCAGCAGCAGCAGATTTGGCAAACCCAGATGGCCAACATGATGAATACGTTCATGTCGTATTTGGAGCAGGTCCGGAGCATCAACCCGAGTGTCCCGCTGCCTGAGTTCTCTGGTTTCCGAACACCGACCCCCCACGGAATTAAAAGCCTTCTGAACGGCTCTAATGACGTGCCCATGGATGATCTTTTTGATGCTGTGAACTGAACACTCCCAAACTTGAACAATTTTTTTATTGTAATTTCTTTTAATGGCTTTTTTAGCCATTTGCTTGGACTGCTTAATTACTATTTTCTTTCAACTGCTATTTTCTTTCAACTGCTTATTAATCTTAGTTTTTTTTATGTTATGCTTGTGGTTGTGAATTGTGAATATTGTTGTGAATTGTGAATATTGTGCATGTATGTGGTGTTGCATATGTGAATTTTGAATTGTTATGTATGGTCAAAAAGATTACATTTCTGCAAAAAAAAATTGAAACGTATAAAAAAAGTATAAAAAAACGTATACCGTACAAAATACGGTATACGTTTTTTTTACCTGATATACTTGTTGGCGCGGATTTATCCGATCCATAAACTGCTATAATCTGGGTCGGTTGGGTTCCTATAATCCGAGGCAAATTCCGAGACAAGAGGAATTCGTGCCAATTTTTGAGGGTTTTGGATGCTAATTTTTGGACGCAAAATTCTAGACAAACGCCTTGCCAAGTGTTGACACGGATCCTATAATCCGTGCCAACACGTTTGGATCGACCCAGGTGGCACGGGAAATATATCCGAGCCAAAACCGAGCCAAGAGCGATAGTCTGAGAATTTTAAGAGCTTATCCGAGCCAAAATCCTTGCCTATACCGAGGTTTTTTAGTAGTGTTAATCGTTTCCAATAAAATTCTATAAATAGTTTGTGTCCGATTTCGTGAATAGCTGAATGTAACTTGGAAAGTTGGGAATATATTCTTTTTTCTCCCTATAAGTATATACCAATGAGTCAATGACCAAACCAGAACTTCCAGCCTAGCTGGTTGTGAGGTTACCCTGCGTAGGAGAGGTCTCGTGTTCGATTTCCACTAGCACCAGTGGTACTATGCTCTCCCAAAAAACCCTTCAAGTGGTAGGGCCAAACGGTGTATACTAACCCGTAAGGTCAAGCCAAAGTTGGGTTTCTGGGGTAAGGGGCCGTGAAAGCGGTGGAGCTAGTCACTATAAAAAGTTTACCCATACCTTAGTTTAACCGGAACTTCCAACCTAGCTGGTTGTGAGGTTACCCCTGCATAGGAGAGGTCTCGTGTTCGATTCCTACTAGCACCAGTGGTACTATGCTCCCCCAAAAAACCCTTCAAGTGGTAGGGCCAAGCGGTGTATACTAACCCGTAGGGCCAAACCAAAGTTGGGTTTCTGGGGTAAGGGGCCGTGAAAGCGGTGGAGCTAGTCACTATAAAAAGTTTACCCATACCTTAGTTACGTTCTACCCGCACGGGTAGCTCAGTTGGTTCAGTTGTGGGAAATTTAGACCAAGTGACTAAGGTTCGAAACCCGCAGCGGCCGTGTGAAGGTCACAGAACCTGAAATAAGGCTGAGCCTCTGGTGTGCACGGGAAAAAGACCTACCATCATTAAGCCGAATGAGTCACCGTGATTAACATCCTCCCAAAAATTTTGTCTGATCCGGGTATGGGGACTCCTGGAATGAGAGATTACACCTTTTAGACCAAATGAGTCAATGACCAAAGTTTAGTGACCGACGAAGACACGAAGTGACGAGGTGGATCAGCTAAGCTCTGGATAGTGGATACTAGGGGCTGGCGGGGTGTTCGTTGTTTCTTAGTCCAAGTGTTACGTACCTCGTTTTCTATTTCTCTAGTTTTCTTACAAGTCTGCATTAGCATTAGTGCATTACCAGTTAATTTTTTATGTGCAGGCACATTATTATAAATGACAGATACTCGTACAATAATTGCTATAACATATGCATCGAAAGTCCCATAAGTTCAGTTTCAGGTTTGTGAATGCATGTGCTCCGAGCTTTCTCTCACTTTATTATTATTATTATTATTATTATTATTATTATTATTATTATTATTATTATTATTATTATTATTATTATTATCATCATCATCATCATCATCATCATTATTATGATCATTATTATTATTATCATTATTATCATTATTATTATTATTATTATTATTTTGGATAAAAATACTCCACCGGTGGGCGTAGCTCAACTGGTAGCGAGGGAGTGCCACAAGGGTCAGGTCCCGGGTTCGAATCCTGACAACTGCAATGAGAGGTTACTATGCTAAAAAATGCATAGGGTCTCTGCAAGTACCGGTGACAGAGCCCCACTCTCTATCTGTCAGATTGGGATTATAGGCCAATTAACATCCTCCCAACGTAACGTCCGGTCGGTGTTGAGGGCCCCTCAGGGATGCGATGTCATCCTTTTTTTAAAATAATAATACTCTCTCCGTCTCATAATTAACTTCGGTTTTGACTAGGCACGAGGATTAAGATAGTGAGATTTGTGTGGTGGAGAGTTATGCAGAGGAGAGAGATATGTATAAGAATGATTGTGAACCACATATTCTTAATAAAAAGAGAAAGAGAAGATAAATTTGGGATGGACCGAGGAGGAAAGAATGAAGATAATTTCGAGACAGAGGGAATAATAATAATATCATCACGATCATCATCATCATCACCATCATCATCATTACTATTTTATTATTGAGCGGTGAGAATGTTGGAACATTGATCAAGGATCAAAAACCGTGATCATGTGTAGGTTACAATTCGTGTGAGTTGGATGAGACCTCTAGTTGCACGGGTACAAGTTCTATCACCATTTACTGATTGAGTCACCAGGGATCACAACCTCCCAAATATCATTTTGGGCACCATTTTGTGATTGAGTCATCATGGCTCACATCCTCCAAAATATCATTTTGGGTCAGAGTGTGGGCATTAGGATTGGAGATTCATTCTTTTGAAATATTCCCTTCGTCACTTATAACCTTGACACCATTTCTTTTTTGTTTGTCTCAAAAACTTTATCACTTTCTCTTTTAATAAATCCATTTGTGCATTATTTTATTTCTCTATTTTCTATACAAATTTCTACTTTTTTACTTTTTTATTCTTCACTGGAGGGAGTATCATTCTACGCTGTGCTGACGGGCCGTCATGTCTTCACGTGTTATGTGCAGTTCCAATGACTCGTTTTGACGTTTTCTGGAACGCAATACCAATAAAGCATCATTCTTCCCAAGTAAATCTGATTCCTATAACATGATCCACACGGAATATCTTTTTTCTTCTACATGTCACAAAACGTTTTGGGTAATTTGGTCCCAGCTTTTCCCTCAAATGGTTATAAAAAGTACCTAATAAAAAACTGCATTTATAATGTTTCTTTTTTCTAGATTTTGGCGTTATGCTCTCAAAAAAGAGAGAGAAGAAGATATACTCTTCGTCCTAGGATCATAGGCCTTTAAAAAATGTATACTACTTCCGTACCTGAATTATCTTCAAACTTTCCTTTTTCGTCCGTCCCAAAATTATCTTCTCCTTCCCTTTTTGACAAAGAATTTGTGGTTCATAATCATTCTTACACATTCTTACACATTTCTCTCTCCTCTGCACAACTCTCCACCACACAAAACCAACTATCTTAATTACTGTGCCCAGCCGAAATGAGAGAAAAAACAGGGACGGAGGGAGTACATACTACCGTCTATTTGGTCTATTCCATAAGAACCTTCTATCCCCGCTTTTGTTTAATACGAAGTCTTAGAGAGTCTAGAGATGACTTTGGTTTATGAAAAATGCTAGAAGTACAAAAAAACTTACAAAAAAACTTACAAACAAGTGATGTGGTTATTCTAATTACCATTAATGTAAAAATGTTGTATATGTGATGTGATGTGTTAAATAATGTGATGATGGCACATACCCCTTTTGTAAGACTTTTTGTAAAAGTTTGTTCACCTGTAGCATAACTCTTGGTTTATTTTGGAGGTGCAAAGGCAATCAAAGCAGAATAAAAAAATCAGATCAATTTTAAAAGATCAATAAGTTTAAGCAATTTTAATGTGCTAAATGTTAGATTATTATTACGTATCTGGTGTGTAAACGATTCTTTAACACCCCTTCCCAATTCTCCAGGAACATAATTGTCATTGAGGCCCATATCAAGATTTACGATTATAGATCAGGCTGCCTTTAATTAATAATATAACAAAACTTAGAATCTCATTCTAAATATTAAAATGCTGACGAAATTAAGAAATGGGAATTCATGTTATAAATCCGAAAATATAGTCCTGTTACGCAATGTTACTCCTTTCTCTAATACTCCATCTGTAGGGTTGTATACGAACCGAACCGAGTTAAATAATGAGATTTTGTATTTGTATTTGTTTAATTTTTTCAAATATGAATTCGAATTCAAATATGAAACAAATATTAATTTTGATTTGTATTTGTATTTGTTTAACAATACGAATAGTTAACGAATCATATACGAATATCGAATCGATTTGAGCATAAGTTAAAATTTTAGTCAAATATCACTCTAAAATAACTTTTTTATATTCCATATTTTTTATGTTGTCAATGCATGCTATGACTTAATATGTGTTTTTTGAATTTAATTTTAATGGATCAATGCATTTTTAGATGGTACACAATATACTAAAGTGAACTAATTTTATGATTACTAAATATAAATCTAAACTTTTTTAAATAAACACTAACACACACATATTAGAAATTATACTTATAATGTGTGAAATAAGTTGATAATTGTATATATCAAAGTCAAACAACTCTAATTTTATTTTTCAAATCGAATACATAATTATTTGTATTGTATTTGAAAGACGTTTGAACCAAAAAAATTGATTTGTATTTGTATTTATATTCTGATTTATTACATACAAATAGGTTTGGAATTTGTATGCAAAAGTGTATATATGGGTTACACTTTGAGGGTATTTCTATCTTTTAAAAGTTATTATAATGTTATTACTACTATTATTATTAATATTGACATTAATATTACCATTATTATTAATCGAATATATTTGATTAATATTCGAATCGAATACACTGATATTCTTATTTGTATTTGATAACAACTCGAATCAAATTTAATATTCTTATTTGTATTTGTATTTGAATTTTCCGAATTCGAATCGTCTTATACGAATTCGAATCACGAATCGAGCACAAATTATTTGATTCGTTTACGACCCTATCCATCTGTACGAAGATGCAAGTTACATTGAGTATCACGCTCCAAACAAAAAGAAAAGAATTATAACTCACATTCAATTTACGGCCCAAAGTTGGCCCAAAGTAAAGTTTACGGACCAACCATAACCTTTGTCTAGCACCCCATTTGATTTCAGCCCAAAAGTTTCAGTCATCGGCCCAACATTGCATACATGTGACATGAGAGAGT